CTTAGTATTCTGGCTATCTGATCTTCAGTAACGAGCCAGTGTAGGCAGTTGTTGATGAATGTCTGTAGTTTGTTGGAAATGCTTTTCGTAACGCATCAAGTTTCTGAACCATACAGGAGCACTGACTTGACGTTGATGTTAAAAACCCGCATCTTGTTCCACATGCTGAGTGGAGTGCAGAAGATCTCCACACTGGTTTCAGGCTAATGAACGTATGTCTTGCTTTTCCGACCCTGACTTTGACATCCTCGTCTGTGCCACCTGTAGTTGAAATAGTGCTTCCTAGATAGGTGAAGGAGGTTACTTCCTTTAGGTTGATTTGTTGATTGAGTTCAATCAACAACAATCTTATAAAAGCCTTTTTAACTAAATAAGCCAATAAAGTCTGAATTATTGACTTTATGTCATTCCATTTGTTGACATATATTGAACACCAATCACAGTTGACACTTTCTTAAGATTTCTGAAGATTTGATTCAATATGCAGAAATTAATTTTAGGCATATTTTCAACTATAGAATCGATATAACTTTAACAATAAAATATCCCAACTTAGGAAAGTATATCACGGAAATAACTGTGGGACTTGTCTTATCACACTAGAGTTCAACCGTATTCAGTGTGAAAAAAGCAACACCTCTTCAATGCCATTATTACTAGTTCTTCAAGGTTCCCAACTCTGTTTCTCTAAATGCTACAAACATTTACATGAAAATCAAAGAGATAAACTATACTAGTCTAACCTATTAGAATAACTCTGAATAAACAGGCCACAGAAAGTTGTAGAATGACATTAGGATGGTGATTTTTTGCGAATGAAGTCTAGAAACTCCAAGAGTTTAGTTTAAAAATATAGTCAACTCAATTATATTTGAAACATTGATGTAAGAAGGGAATGTGTCATAAAATCACCAAGTGAATTTGTAGTGTATTACCTGAAATTAGTACCTGTCGTTTTACGATGATACGGAAGAACGGAAAACAAAGCAAACGTTGTTCCGCCTGCACCCACTGAACGTAAACCTATCCTAAAAATCAGAGTATTGAAAAGAAAAAGAGATAATTATAAACGAATAAGACTTAAATTGTTTGATAAGCCTAAACAAAGCTATAAGTGACGAAATATAAAACAAGAAATAAAACGCTTGATGATTTACAATGACAAAAACTCAGTAAGATTCTTAGTAAATAGACTATGTAGACGGAAAAAAATGAAGTAACCAGCTGCATGAGAATGCCTAACCAATAAGTCTGCTTAAAAGTGATATATAGAAAACCACCGAGGTTACCTTTCCGTGACTCGTATAAAATGTTTATGTATAAGATGCTTATTGACACATAAGGAATCCAGCAACACTTCTTCTAAGAACGCACCAGAGTTCAATATCAGAAGAAACAACTCCCACAGAAAATATGACATAGCAAGCTCCAAACAAAATGCACCAGTAAGAAGTGAAGAAGATATTTATAAGCGTGCAGAAAAGTAATTTTAAAAAAGGAAATTAACAGACCAATAAATTAGGTTAAATCCTTCTTGAAAAATCTCATTCCTATTTTGAAATTCTATACATGGTCTAACATGCACGTTTAACAGCGTTAGCGTAATTTTTACAGTTGACAGTTAGAAGGATAAGTAAGCTGACGTAAATGCACTTGTGACGACATACACTGTTTTTACTTGGATATGATATTTTACTGTTTAAAAAATATGCTTTGTAGAATACTACATGGCACATACTTTTATATATTCTGAACTATCACACAAGTTATTGTAATTTTTAAATGTCAAGAATAATGACAATTGTTACGACACTACGTGTGGTTATTGAAATATTTAAATAGTCTATATATTCCCGAAATTTCCTGATGTGATCCAGGTAGCAAGAGGGGATTCTTCCTCTGGAAATACGGTCAAGCATGTCCCAGAAAAGTCTTATTGATGGTCTCTGCTTGCTCAAATTCTCACAAAAGTGAATTCATGGTGTTCATGATTGAATTAATAGGTACGAATAGTCCATTTAGTGGAGCTATAAAAACTACATTAAAATTGGTGAATATCAGCTACAGCATCCGGAAAGACGGATGAAATATGAACCGATTTCGCTTGCCAGTAACCATGAAATGCAAGTCCTGACGTCATATGCTTACTTTGTGGACTAAACTTGAAGAGCGGTCGCTTTAGACAAGTGCCTGCTTCGGTTTGATGTCCGGGAAGTGTTTCAGCTTCAACACAAACCACTAAACGACAATTTAAACGAAGATGCATAAGCAATTTCACAACTAAGCAAGATTACACCATTGTAAAATGTGGACGCAATTATTCAGTTTATTTTTATTATCTTATGTTTACATATTTCACCTAAAAATTTGATAGAAATCAACTCGGCACATGTTTTCGTACTTAGCTATAACCAACAGTTGTGTCACCATACGATACTACTTGGTTCCTCAGGTTGAAGTAGATGGTGTGATTTGAACCCGGAAGCCATTGCTTAAAAGTTGATTGATTAAGCCAATAAGCCGCATCCCCACTATTTTTACATATGAACTGTATTTTGGTTGCTATTCCTTTAAATTTGCCTTTATGAGCATCATTATTACACTAAGCTACTTATTCCTCTAAGTCGTTGAACAGTCACTTTCACAAGGCTGTCTTCTAGTGCAATATCTAGGCAAGCTATATTGAAAGTGTTTACACTGTCAAGTCTTGCTACCTTCAACATTCACACAATATAATGTAGGTAACAAACAGAATCCTGATAACTTGACTGCTCACTTTTTTTGGTATCTTAGAGATACGCATACAGGATTCCAATATAGTGATGCTTCTAGGCTCTCAATCAGCTCGAAAATTATTTTTCACCTCAGCTTATCTGGGAAACCGTAGCACCAGCTTTTAATCTCCCTAGTGTTAGTATTGTACTAAGTGCTAGAGTCAAAGCTGAACTACTCGACAGGATTTTCAGCAACAGTCATCTACGCGCAATACAGTTACACAGCTCGATTGAAATATGAGGGATACGGCAAAAGAAATTATATTGAAGAAGCTGTGGTCTACACAGCGAAAGGTTCAGAAAAATCTTGATTTGGTTTTTTAAACACCCTAGGATTATGCTGAAATATACGGTTATAGGGAGTTTATGATATCTCGAACCACTGTTGTGAATATCATCCCATAGGCTTTTATACTGTTCATTGTTTGTCAGTTTTGAGACTTACGAGAGGAAACAAAGCGATAGCTATCCAGTGACTTCGCCCCATGGAATGGAGAATAACTGTGTCATATCTCTTGGTATATCACGACCGCTTGAGAAGACTACAAAAGATTGCACATGCCAGTCAGAATCAAAATCAGCATCCTTCTTGTTTCTTTTGCCAGAAAGTAATACAGCAATTATTACTTCTAAGAATATATTTTGTCAGATTGCTCACGTAATCATCCTATGATTCCTCATATCTCATTACCCTCATATAGTTTACTTTAAAAAAACTACTCGTGCTGTATTTCTTGATGTCTATAGTTTGCTAAGTCTGCATTCTAAATGAGTTAATATCATAATTTAACTCATTAAGACAAGGAAACCGATAATAATAATAATAATAATAATAATAATAATAATAATAATAACGATAATAATAATAATAATAGCATCCATACAAACTAGAAAACCTGTCTGGAACATCTGGTCTTGTATGTGATATTCCGCTAGGGTGTGTGTGCACAACATACAATCCATAATGAAACCTGATAGGTTAAGTATACACTCCTTTGATGTGCTAATATACAGAGCTATATCTGCGATAATTTTATCCAACTAAGTCACCATATTTACATTGCCATGCAACAGAAAATGCCTGATATAATGTTCCTTAACTTTCAAATGACTGGCATGATAATGTTCTCGTCTGTGAACGCTTATCATCTACGAAAGTACTATCTGGCTGTTCAGTAAAAGTTGTAAAATGTGAGCCATCGGATTACGACAGAGTAGCTGTGTGGTAAAAATGCTCACAATTAAACCAAGCAGTTTTATGTCCCATCTCCACCCGCGTCATGGGTGCACACTGAAACGGAGTCCTAAACTCAGATGAAACAGCTATCCAGTTACTCTTAGGTTTTAAGTGGTTTTCTTGATGATGTCAATTCATGATGAAAACCCTTTTTATATTTATCAACTCTCCGTAAACGTTCAATATCCGGTTTACTTTCTTTTCATACATTTATTGCACCCTTATCTAAAAAGAAAATCGAGTAGTACGCAATGCACTATACGAGCACAGGAAATAATGAAAGTTAATGCGTAAATCACCGGTAATCTGATTGGATGGAAAAAAACAATACAACAATAGCAAATAAGTGTAACAAGTAACATTGAGTTCAGATCACATAATTTAGTAGGAACGAAAATGAATGACAATTGAAAACTGAAAACTACGTAAAACAACTAACAAAATACAAATTGTAATGATATAATCTCATGTCCGTCATTGTATTATG